GTATTGGATGGTGATGTCACGTAAATAGAGTATTGGATGGTGATGTCACGTAAATAGAGTATTGGATGGTGATTTCACGTAAATAGAGTATTGATTGGTGATGTCACGTAAATAGAGTATTGGATGGTGATGTCACGTAAATAGAGTATTGATTGGTGATGTCACGTAAATAGAGTATTGGATGGTGATTTCACGTAAATAGAGTATTGATTGGTGATGTCACGTAAATAGAGTATTGTATGGTGATGTCACGTAAATAGAGTATTGGATGGTGATGTCACGTAAATAGGGTATTGGATGGTGATGTCACGGCAGGTTGTTTACAAGTTGTATTCTCATTCAACAGCAAAGAGCTGAACGGGACCAAAGACCGTTCCTGCTGTTACACACACACACACAGATATATATGTAAGCCATGAGGTGCCGTTACACACACACACATTGGATTCAAAATAAATGTCAGCTGCATGTTGAATAATTATCCCCCGCTTTCACCGAAAAGGGATATTAATTTGGGTTTGTCTGTCTGTCTGTCACGCTTCGTTTCCGTGCAATAACTTCAAGAAATGTTAATTTTCTTCAAACTTGGTCACAGGGTTAAATGCCTTAAGGGCTCAGCCAAGTTCATGACCCGCTTTTAGCGGACCCCATTTTGCATAGTTATGGCCCCTTGAATAACGAAAAGCGTAATTATCTGCTGGGTTTTGTTTCTGTGCAATAACTACAACAAATGTTAACAGATTTTCTTCAAACTTTGTTCGATTTTGATGAAAATTGGTATATAGGGATATTAGGGGACTGCAAATTCAACCGAACAGGTTTTGTTGCCATAGCAACCATAAAGCAACCACACAAAGGCTTCTGGTTGGTGGAAATTTAGATATTGTTTGATTTTGATGTAAATTGGTATATAGGGATATAAGGGGGCTGCAAATTCAACCACATAGGTTTCGTTGCCATAGCAACCACACAAAGGCTTCTGGTTGGTGGAAATTTAGATATTGTTCGATTTTGATGAAAATTAGTATATAGGGATATTAGAGGACTGCAAATTCAACCGAATAGGTTTTGTTGCCATAGCAACCATAAAGCAACCACACGAAGGCTTCTGATTGGTGGAAATTCAGATATTGTTTGATTTTGATGAAAATTGGTATATAGGGGTATAAGGGGACTGTGAGTTCAATCGCATATGTTTCGTTGCTATAGCAACCACATGGAGGCTTCTGATTGGTGGAAATTTAGATATTTTTCGATTTTTATAAAAATTGGTATATAGGGGTATTATGGGACTGCGAATAAAACCGCATACGTTTTGTTACCATAGCAACCACACAGAGGCTTCTGATTGGTCGCAATTTAGATATTGTTTGATTTCGATGAAAATTGATATAAGGGGACAGCAAATTCAATCGCATACGTTTCGTTGCCATAGCAACTACACAGAGGATTCTGTTTGGTTGAAAGTTAGAAATTGCTCAATTTCACTCAAATTTAGTATGTACATTGTAGGTGTACTATGGGAATGCGATCCTTTTCTGATACATCTTTGCGACTATGGGGGCAGTTTGGGGGACATCTGTAATGGTCCCCCATTACAATTAGTACTTGTTGCTGTAGATATTGTTTTAAAAGATGTTTCAACCAAATTCCTTATGCACATCCAACTCATGCTAAGTTTGCCAACAGATGTGAAAATATTTACGGATAATCAAT